AACAAACAATCATAATGAAAATCGAAAGTTGGTGTGCTTGCTCTGTCTTAAAAAATGTTTTAAAGATAGCTTACTACTTTTCAAGCAGATTGAATATGCCAACTATACAAGACCGAGATTGTTTTCAGTGATTCTCGGATAAATTCTTCGAATCGTATAGAATTACTTTGCGCAGAAAACAAGAGGGGAAAGAAGATGCACTCCCTCTTTTGTTTGATTTTAAGTCAATACAATTGAGACCTGAAACAAGAAGCACGATGTGTTGTTGCCTATTATGCCGAACTGGTCGTTGAAAGCTGCAAAAAAAAATCCTCTTATAGAGCAAACCACTATTGAGAAAAAACCAAAGATGCGTTTCAGCAAATGCCTCAGCCTTTTAGGAAAAGGTTTTCCCCATCAATGCTTTCAAAAATGTTTAGGGAAAACATTTAATCTTTAGCAGCAAAAGATGCTAAATCATCCGAACAAATTACATCTCGAGTTATTTCCAAGAAAAAAATCTCCAGAAAGAACTATTCTACTGGCTAAAGCATCCCATGGGCCTCCACATCCAGCTATCTCTGGTAAATATTTATACTTAAATAATTTTAACATATTTATTGGAAAAAAGTCTTGACTATTAAGAAATAACACTAGATAGATTTCAAGAAGTATATTTTTGATAAATTTCTAATTTCTTTAAAAACAAATAATTTGAAAATTTTACACAAACTTGCTAAACAAAGTTTATTGTAACTATAAAATATGTATGTTATGTTTTTAGGTCAAAGTAGTGCGCAGACACCATCAAGTGCTCCAAAAATGACCACTGTAGCCCTTGTAAATGTGCTATTAAATACGGTCCTGTCAAACAACGGATTAAAGAAACTTTTTAGAACTATAAACATCAAGTAGCAAGATTGTAGAGCAAAATTCCTACATAATATTTCTAAAACTAGGTCAACAATTAAGCGATTTCTTCACCTGCAGCGACTTAAAAATCACAAGCGATAAAACAGATTCTTGTACTGAACAGTACAAGAATCTGAACAGTAAATTGTTGTTGCTCACTGCAATGATTTATCAAGTCTTGTGAATCATGTTATTTAGTTCCGCAAAATTTCTGGTGGCTATTTTGTTAAGCTCGGAATTGATGGTGGCAAAGGTTTTCTCAAGTTTTGCCTAAGCATTGTTGATACTGCCTTAAGAGATAAAATTAGCTCATTGCACCAATAACAACCTCTTACTCAAAGTACTGGTATAGACACTGAAGTCAAGAGACAAATCATTGTTAGGGTTTCAGAAGATTTGCCAGAAACACACTTCAATATTGAACAAGTCTGGTCATTGATTAAGGCAAATGGAGTAAAACGAATTTTGGATTGTGATATGAAAGTTGCAAATATAATTTGTGGTCTTCAAACTCATTCAAATACGCACCCTTGCACATGGTGTGACGTCAAATTCTATTATCTTCCCAAATTTGTAAACTTGTGAACACTGGGCTTAATTAAATCGAGCCTTGAGTCTTTTCAGCAATCTAGCGGGGTTGTTGCTAATGCTGTTTGGCAATGTCATTCGAAAGTCAACCGACTTCAGGGATGTCAATATTCTGATTTTGTAAATAATTCCAACAATAGAATTGCATCTCCTCTTAGGAGTTGTCAACAATCTTTTTAAGATCCTTAAGACTGCTTGGTTAGAAGCTATTAAGTGGCCAGCCGCCCTCTACATTCAACTCAGCATGTGTCACGGGGACCATTTTGGAGGAAATGAAAGCAAAATGCTTCCTAAAATTAAGAATATGCTGCAGCAACTTGCTGAGGCCAACATAATTCCCAATGTTGTGTGCATAATTGAAGCATTCAAAAGCTTTAATTTAGTTGTCAAGGCTTGCATTGGATACATCCTTCAACTGAATGTCGCTAAAAAAATTAAAAATTTCAAAAAGTGTTACTTAATGATAACTGATGCAAATGTAACACCCAAATTCATGCCGTTTTCTACCACACAAAGGTTTTATCAGGCACAAAGGATCCCCGTTGAGGCTCTATAGTGAACAAAGTGTCGAAACTTCTTATCAAGATTTTTATTAACATTGGTCGAGGTATAAGCAAAACAAAAATTATCTAGAGTATAAAGAAAGATTGTTGCGCTGCATAATTTATCTAAACGATAAGCATCTTTAAAGAACATCATTTGAGTTATTAGAAATTAGGCTGATGAAATTCATATTTTACAGCGAACAATGAATACTTTCACCATCTTTATAAGTAGTATTATAAAGTATTTGTATTAAAGAAGTACATTGAGCTATTTATTAATAATCTTTTAGTGGAGAAAACCAAAAAAAATATATTTTAAAATGTAATTAGATTTTTCATAGTAATACAATATAAAAAATAGGGTTAAAATAGTTTTTACTTCATTTTAAAAGTAAATATATTTTGAAGGTCAGGGTTAGGGTTAGGGTTAGTACCTCGTTAGAAAAAATGGAGAAAATAAACTTTAATTATTTAATAAAAAATATCCATATGCCATCAAATAAACTTCAATTTGCGATTGCTCAAAAAAACTGAAATTCTAATCAAAAGAATGAAGAGGATATCAATTCATACTTACACTTATGCTGATAAAACCTCAAATTTATACAAACTACCAACAGAAGAGTATAATAAAGTGTTAATGAATGCTACTACTTCCAATTATAAAAAAGCCGGCCCCATGATAAAAGACCCTATTAATAAAAAAGGAAAGGTTATTTTGAAGATTCACGATATATTTAACAAAATCAATTGAAATGGATCGTCTGATTGCTTTACATTGAAAGACCTTAAATCAAACTTTTTAAATAACCCTACGGTTCGTCTTATAAATCCCGCTAAAAACAAAATCGAAAGAGTTAGTAAGCATATTTTATCTGATATTAATACCAATCTAATAAAAATTTTGCAACTGAATCAGTGGAATCATACACAAGACGTAATTAACTGGTTCAAAAATATTCAAGATAAATACATTTATAAGTTCCTTATTTTTGACATTGTTGACTTTTATCCTTTAAATAACGAAAAACTTCTTATCGACTCCATTCACCTTGCAGAGGAATATGTTACCATCGCTACTGACCATATATCTTGAATTCTTCTGGCGCGAAAATTATTATTATTTACCAACGACCTAGTTTGGATAAAGAAATCAAGTGGTTTATTTGATGTGTTCATGGTTGCATTTGATGGTGCGGAGGGTTGTGAACAAGTTGGAATTTTCCTTTTTTTTTTTCAAATTCCCAATTTTATATCAAGCATGATTTAGGGTTGTATAGAGGTGATGGTTTAGCTGTGTTCAATAATGCAAGCGGTCCTAAAATGTAGAAAATTAAGAAACATTTTACGCAAATGTTTAAGCAAAACAGCCTAACATGAAAATTGTTAATTACGTAGATGTAACATTGAACCTTAACAACAGTAGTTTCCGACCATACCACAAACCTAATTGTACGTTAAATTACATCCACGCTAGTTTCAACCAACCACCGAATATTTTAAAACAGCCACCAACTTCAATTGAGCGTTGGTTATCAACCAATACTTCAAGCAAAGAAATTTTTAAAGATACTGAGACTATTTATAAAGATGCATTAGAAAAGTTTGGATTTAGAAACAACATACAATGCCATCCATATGTAGGCCCAAATAATACTAATAAGCGAAAGAGAAGCATTATATGGTTTAATCCTCCGTTTAGCAAAAACGTTGTCACCAAAAAAAGACACCTTTTTCTTAAGTTAATTGACTTGCATTTTTCTCTTCATAATAAGTTCCACCATATAATTTAGAAATAAAAAGCAGAAATACAATTAAAATTAGTTACAGCTGCATGTCGAGTGTTTTATCAATAATTAAGTCACACAATCAACCCAGTAAGCACAGGACGTTTTTAAAACGTTTTAGTTACGTTCAATTTACGGTCAGACTTTTAAAGAGTCAATACAATCGTTTTTAAAACGTCTTTTTGTACACGTTTTTTTAATGCTAGTTTAAACGTTTTTTTAGCGTTTTTTTGGCGTTTTTTTTTTTTTTTTAACTCAAAAATCTTCTCAGTTAGCTTATGAACGTTTTTATAACGTTTTTTTAACATGTTTTTTGAATGTACACGGCAATATTTAAAAGAGTAAGTATATTTACGCAAATAATGGCGTGACCTTCGATTAAGCGAAGTGATTTATTTAAGTAAAAACTATATAAATTAACATATCTTTAAATCGACCAAGTGTTTGAATTTTTTTCTTATAGAATTAAATTTAAAAAATATATTGGAGTATTTTTAGTTTGTTTTCGTTGAAACTAGGCTGTGTTTGTATTTCTACTTGAGTCAAGTAGATATGATTTAAATGATAAAGTTTTTATGGTGTGGTTATTTAGATTAAATAGCTTAATTGTTGAGTAAACTTGATTGCTAAAGAAACTAGATTAAGTTTTTAATTCTACTTGATCATCAACTGCTTTTAATGCAAAAAAATTCATTTGGATTTGAGAAAAAGGAACAACATTTTCAGAGTTTTTTTACTTTAACTCTAAATATAAAATATAATAAATCAGTGGTTTTTACTAAGGAATTACTATGTTAAAACAGATGAAAGGAAAAAGTATGATGGTTTGTTTCAAGAAAGTAAGTGATTTAGTTCTAAATATCATTTTAAGATTTTTAATCTTTAATAATATTCTGGTGTTATTACCGAATATTTGGCAGTATAAAACTTATAATATTATATAAAATATGATATACCCTATTTTACTTATAAAATTAACAATTTGTAAAGTAATTTGTAAAAGATTTTTAATTGTAAAATTTCTACATGAGAAAACAAGTTTTTAGATGAAATTCAAATATTCTCTATGCTTGTATTCTGTAGGTAAAAAAATAGTAAATAAAGATGATGTTTATTGTTATGACTAAGAGATTCAATTTAAGACACAATAATCTTCATCATCTTAAAATAAAAATGAAAAATAAGATAGATTTCCATTATCTCAAGCAAGTAAATTTTTAGTTAAAATAATGATGAAATGTTTGTTGTAAAATGCTAACAGAACTGTCAATATTAAAAAATTTCATTGAAAAGATGAGGTTTAAATTTTAACTTTAAATAATCACCTGCATAAAATCCATTATTTCAATATTATCTAAATAATAATTCTATGGAACAATCTTTCTTCTCTAACCCTAAATCTGAGAAAAACTGTAATATATAGTAAAATATTTATTGTAGCTATACCAAATATTAGCATTTCCACAATCAAGTATTTTACTGTCTATTAGTTCTTCTCTGATTTAGGGTTAGACCAGTAAAGTTGTCAATTTATTAAATTTATGTATTTTAAATTTATTTATATACGTAATATTGTTAATACTATGTAAAACTTAATTATTCTAAGTTTGTTTAGACTTTTAATATTGTGTGTTGCATCTCCTTAATGAGCTAAAAACCCAAGGATCCAAAAAACCTAATATAAAATAGTGTGAGCAAAAATTTTTACTACTTAATTAGGAATTGTCAAGTTTTCCATAGTATCTTTTTATTAGAAACAAAGAGTTCAAAATATTGGTGGTAAGAATTGTCAAAAACTTGTGATTGCTATGATGAAGAGGTTAGTAAATTAAAAGTGCATTCCTATAAATACTCTGTTGAAGTTTATTATGATATTCCTCTTATCTTACAATCAATAATACAAATCCCATGCATGGCTCTACCTAAGGTGTTTTATCATGATAGGACGAGTAATTAAACGTGAAGTTTATAAGTGCGAACTATCGTAAGTACGATTTCGCATAAGTGCAAACTAGCACATGTGCGAAGCAGTTACAAAAACAGACGCAATGCCAAAAGGCATAAATGCAAATTAGTATAAGTGCGCAAATAGAATTTCCAAACATTGGCATAAGTGCAAACTGGCATAAGTGTGAACTGGCATAAGTGCGAATTGGCATATGTGCGTCGAAGAAATGTGCAAACAATAACGTAATTGCAAATCAGCATAAGTGTAAAGCAGTTATTGAAACAGGTACAGAAACTGGTATAAGTGCAAACTAGCAAATGTGCGAATCGGCATAAGTGCGCTATATAGATTTAAAACATTCTCATAAATGTGAATTGCCATAAGTGGGACTGTTATAAGTGTGAAGCAGTTGCAAAAACTGGCAAAATTGCAAACAACATAAATGCAAACTGGCATAAGTATACCAAATAAATTTGCAAGCATTGGCATAAAGGCAAACTGGCATAACTGCAAACTAGCATAAGGGCAAATTGCAAATTATCACTCATGCCAATGTTTGCAAGTTTATTACGCGCACTTATGTCATTTTGCACTTCTGCCAATTTTTGTAACTGTTTTGTACTTATTCAAATTTTGCACTTATGCTTATTCGTAATGTTTGCAAACTTGTTTGGCGCACTTATATCAATTCACACTTTTGCCAGTTTGCAAGTGATAAGCTATAGGTTATCCTAGCTTAAACTATAATCCAGACAATTCTATTAACCTAGACAATATTCATATATATGACTACAATAATCGTTAGTGTACACTAACGATTTGAACTGCACTAATTGTTAGTATGCTATTTTTTAAAGAATAATTAATATATAAACTATATTGTTAAATTTAATAAAACATTTAGATTTAAATAATGAGAAAAAGAAAAACATTTTAGAGTAGATTAGAGTAGTTAATTATAATTTCATAAATTTTAAAATCTAACATTATTAAAACATGGTATTTTTAGTTTTATAACAAATTCATTCATGTATATATATATGTATGTATTTATATATATATATATATATATATATATATATATATATATATATATATATATATATATATATATATATATATATATTTATATATATATATATATATATATATATATATATATATATATATATATATATATATATATATATATATATATATATATATATGTTGTATATATATATATATATATATATATATATATATATATATATATATATATATATATATATATATATATATATGTTTAATATACTTTTTATTTGTGCGTATTATGAAACTATATATATATTTTTAAAACATATATTTGTAATTTAAAAACTTATTACTATTAATTATTATAATACTATTATATTATTATTATACTATAACTCTATTATTGCTTTTCATATTGTCTGTTGTAAAAATATTGTGCATCGACTGCTCACTAATCATAAACAGAGTCAATTGTCGATGCAATAATTACTGATTCGTTAAAGCTGGCAACTTCTACTTGTGTTAAAGTACCTTCCCAGTAAGCACAGGGCGTTTTTAAAACGTTTTAATTCCGTTCAATTTACGGTCAGACGTTTAAAGAACCAATACAATCGTTTTTAAAACGTTATTTTGTAAACGTTTTTTTAATGTTAATTAAAATGTTTTTACAGCGTTTTTTAAGCGTTTTTTTTTTTTTTTTTCAACTTACGAAATTTCTCAGTCCCAGTAAGCACAGGACGTTTTTAAAACGTTTTAATTCCGTTCAATTTACGGTCGGACGTTAAAAGAACCAATACAATCGTTTTTAAAACGTTTTTTTGCAAACTTTTTTTTTAATGTTAATTTAAACGTTTTTTTAGCGTTTTTTAAACGTTTTTTTTTTTTTTATTAACTTACAAAATTTCTCAGTTAGCTTATGAACGTTTTTAAAACGTTTTTTTCACGTGATAAAAAAACTCTTTTTAAACGTACAGCACGGCAATATCTAAAAGAGTATGTTTACGCAAATAATGGCGTGATCTCGATTAGGCGAATTGATTTATTTAAGTAAAAATTATATAAATTAGTATATATTAAAATCAACCAAGTGTTTGTATTGTTTTTTTGTAGAATTAAATTTGAAAATATATTAGAGTATTTTTACTTTAAAGTTGTATGCCTTCGTTGAAACTAGGTTGTGTTTGTATTTCTACTTAAATCAAGTAGAAATACACATATCTAGATATGATTAATAAAGTTTTAATGGTGTGGTTAACTAGATTATTTTACTCTATTAAATAACTTAATTGTTGAGTAAACTTAAATGCTTAAAAAAACTAGATTAAGTTGTCAATTCTACTTAACTATCAACTGCTTTTAACGCAAAAAAATTTATTTGGATTTAGGAAAAGGGGACAACATTCTCAGAGTTTTTCTTCTTTAACTCTAAAAATTAAAAATGATAATATCAGTGGTTTTTATAAAGGAATTACTATAGTTAAAAAGGCTAAAAGAAAAAAATATGATGATTTGTTTTAAGAAAGGGGGTGACTTACTTCAAAATGTCATTTTAAAATTTTTATTCTTTAATGATATTCTGGTGTTATTACCAAATATTTAGCAGTATGAAACCTATAATATTATATACCATGCTATATACCCTATTTTACTTAAAGTTATTAATCTGTAAAGTAATTTGTGAAAAATTTTTAATTGTAAAATTGCTACATGAGAAGCCAAGTTGTTAGATGAAATTCAAATATTACCTATGCTTATGTTCTGTAGGTCAAAAAATAATAAATAAAGATGATATTGATTGTGATGACCAATAGATTCATTTTAAGACACATCAATCTTCATCATCTTTTAATAAAAAGGATAAACATGATGGAATTCCATTATCTCAAGCAAGTAAGTCTTTAGTTAAAAATAATATTGTAATGTTTGTTGTAAAATGCTAACATGACTGTCAATATTAAAAAAACATCATTGAAACAATAAGGTTCCAATTTTAACTGTAAATAATTACCTTCATAAAATCCATTATTTCAATATTATCAAAACTATAAATCTAAGGAACAATCTTTCTTGTCTAACCCGAAATCTGAGAAAAACGCAAATATATATAATATAGGATTGCCACTATTAGGTATTTTACTGTCTATTAGTTTTTCTCTAATTTAGGGTTAGACCAGTAATGTTGTTAAATTGTTAAATTTATGTATTTAAAACTTATTTATTTACGTAGTTTAGTTAAGACTATGTAACATTTAGTTAGTTTAAATTTGTTTAGACTTTCAATATTGTGTGCTGCTTTTCTTAAATGAGATAAAAACCCAAGGATGCAAAAAACTTAATATAAAATAGTGTAAAGAAAAAGTATTAACTGAAATAAACAGCATAATAGAATTTGATAAGTTTGACTCAGCACTTGACAATGTTTCATCTAGTAACTCTGTAGTATCTCTGCAGTTGTAAACTGCTAAATACTGATTTGACAGATTTTTCTTTTTTTTTAAATTTTCTTTACAATATATAATTTTTACTACTTAATAAGGAATTGTCAGATTTCCATTATTTCTTTCTATTAGAAACAAAAAGTTCAAAATATTGGTAGTAAGAACTGTCAAAAACTTGTGATAGCTATGACGAAGAGGTTAGTAAATTAAAAGTGCATTCCTATAAATACTCTGTTTAATTTTATAATGATATTACTCCCATCTTACAATCCATAATACAAATCCCATGCATGGCTCTACGTTAGCCATTTTACCATAATGGGATGACTGAATAACCATGAATTTCATACGCACAAACTAGCACATGTGCGAAGCAGTTACAAAAACTGACACAATGCCAAATGGCATGAGTGCAAATGGGCATAAATGCACAAAAAAAATTCCAAATATTGGCATAAGTGCAAACTGCTATAAGTGCAAACTGGCATAAGTGTAAATTGCCATAGGTGGAAACTGGTATAAGTGTGAAACAGTTGCAAAAACTCGCAAAAGTGCAAACAACATAAATGCGAACTGGCATAAGTGTGCTAAATAAATTTGCAAAATTTAGCATATTTCCAAACTGGCATAACTGCAAACTAGCATAAAGGCAAAATGCCAATCAGCACTTCGGCCAATGTTTGCAAATTTATTACCTGCACTTATGTCAGTTCGCACTTCTGCCAGTTTTTGTAACTGTTTTGTACTTAATCAAACTTTGCACTTATGCCTATTTGTAATGTTTCCTAACCTGTTTGGCGCACTAATGCCAATTTACACTTTTTCCAGTTTGCAAGTTTAAAGCTATAGGTTATCCTATAGCTTTAAACTTTAGTCCAGATAATTCTATTAACCCAGATAATATTAATATAAATGACTACACTAATGGTTAGTGTACACTTATGATCTGGACTACATTAATGGTTAATGTGCCATTTTTTAAATAATAGATTAGATTTAACTAATAGATAAACTGTATCGTTAAATTAAAATCTAAATGTTTAATTACATTAAGATTTTATGAAAAAAAAGAAAAAAATTTCAAATACAGTAGTTAATTATAATTTCATAAATTATATGTTATAATATTATTAAAATATATTATTTATAGTTTTATGACAAATTCACTCATGTCCAAATCTAATATGGCAGCTGGAAAAGGCAAAGGATCTTTTTAGTCTAACCAAGCTATACAACTTAATAAAAGGTACGTTTGTATATATATATATATATATATATATATATATATATATATATATATATATATATATATATATATATATATATATATATATATATATACTCTTG